CAATATTAAACAATGTTCGGCGACTGGTAAAAAATGCGTGTATGGAGGAAGAAAAAGAATAGATGACTCTACAGTTATTTTTTTCTAAAGGAAAGTTAAAACAATATAGCGGTAGAGTACCCACTTCTACGAGCTGGACCGCAACGATATCTGATCAACGTCTAGATTATCGGTAACTGGAAGTTGTGCTACTTTGGAAATGGATCTTACATAAACTTTGCCCTTAGATAAAATTTTGATTGTACGTACTTTTACATGGAATAATTCTAAAACTAAAGGTGTCAGGATAGTGTTTGATACAGGTGCCGTTTGGTAAAGTATAATGTTTTACGTGCCTTTAGAGTATGTTTCATTTCGTTATTAGATGACGGTAGAAATTTGCATTGGGCTCTTGGCTATAATATGAAAGAAGCATTACTAATGGCCCTTTTAGGAGAATTAGATGATAATATTAAATATTTCATAATATGAAACTTCGAACTAATACAAATGTCGGCGAGTGCACCCGGAAACTATTTCCTGCTGTTAAACATCCTTAATTAAGGATAAGCTTTGTATTTAATAAAGTCAGGGGTGGGATTCCGTTCTGTGTAAAATAACTCGATCTCAATACGATTCATAATTCAATCGATTGTATCTCTTTCTTGTCGGTGAGTGCTCTCTGTAAGTGATTGATCAATTTCTTAAGTATGAATTTGAGATACTGCCTCATCCCCTTGCGTTTGTTCAATGTTCTTTGGTATCTGTTTGATTTTGAGATGGTTCATCAGTATTCTGTGTCTTTTAATTGCTATGTGTCTTTTCATTACTATCCTCGATATTGGTGGTACTTTGATCTGTTTGCCCGTGTATGGAATTAAAAAGGCCATCTGCTCTTGAAAACGCCATGGTTTTAAATTTACAGCCCCCGATCCACTTCTCAGTTTTGCTCTTTTTTGCGACAAAGCTTATATCTATAGTTATTTTGTAATTTTTCCCAACTTTTCTTGGCCTCATTTCCTGCAAATAAAGTTAGTGTAGACTTAATGCACCAATAAACAATATAAACTGTTATAAAAGCACTTCCCTACTATAAAAACGTCGTAAAAAGACTTACTCAAGATTCAAACTATACGATTTCGAAGATAATTTTTTCATACCTTCATTGACAACTAAAATGCTTAAAAATTTTGCAATTTTCTTTAAGTTGCTACTTGCTCCATTACGGTCAAGTTTACAACAAAAATCATAGAGAATGGCATTATAAACAACAACTATTGTCAAAAGATGTTCCTTCTCAATTCATAAATAAAACAAGTACACCTTAAAATAGAAAAGTCACTTCCACCTCTCCTCAGATGCTCTGTCTTTGCTATGCTTCTTTAGATCACCTTTTATATTTTTTAATAATTTGGAGATATAACAACCCCGCAATATGTGTCAAAAATACATTTTACTATCCGTTTATAACAAAATAAAAGTTTTTAATTACGTATCATTATTTTCTTCCTCTTTGATGGTATAATTTCTTCTTCTGACTCTGACATTTCCTCCAGTATTTATTCTGATTCAATATCTTCACTTATTGAATTTTCAAATATAGTTTTATTTACAGAATTTAAAAATGTCGTTTTATTTATAGCGGAATTTCCAAATGTCGTTTCATTATAATTTGCTGATGTACTTTCATTTCATGCTGCAAAATTTAATACTGTTGGCACAAGTTACATATCTTTTTCCAAATGGGGTTGTCGGTATACAGATTTATGGATGTGATTGTGTTTACCTGCTAGTAAAAACTTCTACGTCTTTTCTCCAAGTATACCAAATACGTAGGGATTATTGTTAACCCCAGCTAATGAGTGATGTAGTAAAAAATGAAATGCATCTGACCTCTTCTCTACACATGACAATGGAAACATTTCTACCAAGTTTTCCTCTTAAGACACACACCTAGTGAAATTAGTACTCCTGAAATTGTTTTCTCCAAATAAATCTGGATTATCATTAACATATTGTGAAGTCTTAAGAAAATCTGATACCAGAAGTCTTTGTATTTCTCCTGGTCTTCTTCCATTATATACTATAATTCCAAACACTGTGTAGCTTGTCAGTTGTTTCCAAATATTGTCACGAAGTCGTGTTTTTTTTACCAGTTTCGTCTTTGAAAGAAATGCAAAATATAAAAAATATATAATTTATTTAAACTCAACCACACCTCATTACTTTGACAATATTGTAAAAATGTTTTGGTACACTTACCACATTTCTTAGGTTTGGGGCACGTCACACTCTTCCCCAAAAGGCACAACGAAAACTTTTAGTTTTTAAGGATTTTAAATTATATAAAAGAAATAGCTTAGTGGAGTCTCTTTTCGAGTCCACTTTTTTCGCTGTCGAGTTTACAACTAACTTCCTTGTTTAATTTACAGTTTTTGAATATTGCCGATTTCATAGTTTAACCAAACTTAAATTACGTGGTTGATGACCTGACATTATTTTAATTAAGCAATATAATTTCGTTATTATTTCCTACGTATATTAGCAACTCGGCAGTATTTTGTAATCGTTTCTAAATTAGTTTTATTAGGTATGTTTTGACTTAATAAAATGCTGAATTAAAAATAAAATGTATTTGTTTAATTTACTTAAAAAAAAAATTAGGAAAAATTATTATTAATATTTTTGGAATTTGTGACAATATCAATGCAATATTGGCTTAAAATCGTTTTATAAAATTAATATCTTTTAGTGCGTAAAAACTTTAATAAATTTTCCAAATCTTAAGACGTCGACAAAGTTACTTTTTTCGATCTTCTGGTGGTCGTTAGATTTTTAGTGACGGTTTTATTTATATCGTTTGTTAATTCAGTCTAAAGCAATTTTAAAAAAATTTTTACTTCAGAAATTTTTTCATAATTTTGTGAAATCTGATTTTATTATGGCACAACAAAATTTTAATATCGTTCCAATAGCTGAAGCTGAATATGGATCACGAAAGTTTCCTTTTTCTGTATCATAGCCGGGCGAACCTTTTTATTTCTGTTATAGAATTATTATAATATTTTGGGGAAAACATAATTTGAAGTCTGTAATATCCGAAGAAATTTGTCTCATTTATTGTAAATTAAGATATGAATCGGATGAGTATTTATTTTATTGTAAAGTAGATCGAATCATTTTGTGGTAATGAGGTGAGCCGTATTTAGCAACTAGTTTATTTGCCTATAAAATTATTAAATAATATGTTGTTAAAATTTGTGTACACAGGTCAAAGAAAATACTTTATTCTTCAAAATTGGATCAGCAATTTTGTGAAGATCGAAAGTCATTTTGCTACTCGCTAGTTGCGTTTTCTGTCTTCTTTCAATATTAAGAGTACAATCTCTAACGGGAATTATGTTTTTTTTATAACAACGTTACCATTTTAAAAAGTTAATTTATACTTAAATGACTAAATGAACATATATGATATACAAATACTAGTTAACACCAAGACTTCTGTAACCACAACGCTACTCGTTTCAAGACAGGGTTCCTATTTATAGTGTCTCTTATCTTTATTACTTTTTAAAAGGAAATGTACATAGTTAGTAGTTAATGGTATGGATTAGTAAAGAATGTGGACCACATAACTCCTCCCTTCACAGAGCAGAAAATAGGGGTTCTTCTGTTTTCTGAATGTCTTTGGTCGTCTTATGGCGTCGGTATATTTTGAAGTAGTATAAGATGGTCAGTGTAGCAATTATAGTTAATATAATTGTTAATGTGTTGGTCCATGCGTGGTTGGAACTGTAGTTGGTATGCAAATTGGTTATTTGCAAGTTGTCGGACATGGTTTTGATTTGTTCTATGTCCTTGCTGTTGATTTTGTTCAGGTGGAACGTTCGTCCTTCTTTGTTTTCTTTCATTTGTATAATGTTTATTGAAGGAAGTTCGAATATGAATTATTCGTGAGTTGTTTGGTCAGCTTGGAAGTCTTCGCCATTTACGGAGATTTTTCATTTTTATAGTGACACAATGCGAGGTTTGTTGGTTTCGTAGATCCCCTCTGTTTCGCAGGATGTCTGAATACTTGTTGGTATGATTAAAACGGTTTTAGAGTTTATTTGAGAAACACTAGTTTCTGAGTAGTAGATTTTCGTCTTGGGACATGAGTTTTTTTCCAGTTCTTAGGAGATCAGTTAGGCATAATTGGTATTTATGTAGATTGTTTTTTAGGCAGAAATACCAATTTTCAATTTCTGGGCAGTTTTGCGACGTCGTCCAATGTTCGTCGGTGTTGAGCAATATATAGGGTTGTTCAGGAATAATTGTGTGATTTAGGATAGGAACTGGGTATACATGGAATATTTCATATTGGGAATGGATTAGCGGAGTGTTAATTTTAAATAAGACTATTTTATTTTGAATTGTTGTGTTGAAAATAGAGAGTAATAATTTAATAATTGTTTAAGTTCTGGTACTTGATTTGTTCCGTATATTTCGATTAGTTTATTAATCATTAATTTGATCTGATTTGGTTCTATTATGGAGCTGTACAAAGTTTAATCTAGCGAACGAAATAGCAGTTTCTATTTTATTAAATATATGTTGAATTGATTGTAGTTGCATTAATAATTATCTATGATATTTCTTTCGATAGATATTTAACTTGAATTTCTAAGGTTAGTTGATTTTCGTTTAGTTTCTGAAAATTGTTGCTGTATGTATTCGAAAGTTGTTTGAGAAAGCTTTGTTGGTGTTTTAAATTGTTATGTGCCAAAAAGCCACTATTGGACTTTGCCTACGGCATATTTTCAAGTTGGGTTAATGGGTTTTTTATTCGGGAAAGGGATTTCTCGGGGTGTGTTATGCCGATGTGATATTGAAATGTATGGCGGGAAGTTATTACGTTTGCTAATCCAATGTGTACTGGTAGGATCGGATTCTTAAGTTCCTTTATGTCCAGTGCTTGGAATAGTTTTATTGCGAAGAGTATAACGATGTAGTGGTCGCATCGGTCATTAGGACAGTCGTACATATTATCGGCATGTTCTTGGTAATAAGTGTGACTATGTTGGAACCACTGTTTGCACATACTGCATCTATGTATATGAGCATCTGGGCTATGTCTCACTGCTATGGTTATGTTAAATGTATCACATATTCCCTGTAAGATACATTTATCATTTAGATTGACAGCTCTCAATGCTTCCATAGCCAAGCTTTTCCTCTCTTCCAAAGGGAGAGACAGTATATCAGCACATGAGTCTAACGAGTCTCCTAGTTCATCAATGGGTGCTGTGATAGCTTTATTGACATATTGCTGTTCTTGCGGAGAGGAGTCAATCATAGTAGAACAATTCATGTCCCTAACCAATTTGGAATCTTGATCATCAACTGGTTCAATGCCCATAACTTCTTTCATTACTGGAGTAATCCATTCAATTCCTTTAAGTTCTTCCGCATTAACGATAGTTACTTGCTCAATGCTTTGAAGAGAAAGAGCATCTTGTGATTCAGTCGTTTGGTCTGATTTGTGTCTGCTGAACCAAGCTGCTTCCTCATCCCACTTCTCTTTCATCCTCTTAGGAGCTATATCAAATACCATATTAAGTATTTGTGGAGCTACCAGTTGGGGTTCAGGGACACCATAATTCTTTCTTTTGATAATTTTTTTTTACCTTCAAACTTATTTGCGACCACTTCCACTTTGGAAGTCAATATTAAAGGTTTATGTCTAACAAGTTCAATACTTTTTCTGATAAGAGTCTTACCTGCAGGTTCGGCAGGAGCTTTAGGTTTAACATTGGCTTTACGAATCCCCATAGATATAAGATCCTCGTTAGTAGCTATTTTGCAGGCGGCCTTGGCAGAAATTGGGAACCTCCTAGGCCTGTCTTTCACTTCATAAAATTTCTCAATCATATATTTATTTTTCAGGGCACGCTTTTCAACCCTTTTCTCGTAGGCAATCTGCTTTTCAGCCTTAAGCTCTGACCACTGTCTCTTCATCTCCTTCTTGATTTCTCTATTTTCTTGCGACTTAGATTTCTTGTTTTTATATACAATAGTCTTCTGCCAGTCACTCAACTTGTTTTTTTTTTCTTTTCAAGGGTCTTTCTCTTTTCCTCAGTTATTGGTCTATTTCGCAATTTAACAGGAACATGTCTAACGAGGTGCTAAACAGAGGTCACTATTTTCAGGGTGAGGAGAGAATCTCTCATACGTCATCTTTACAGATGGCCTTCTAATCTTCTTCCCATCTCTCCTTTTTTCAGGAGTAAACCATGATTTACTTATCTTAATGGTTGGTGTAATTTTTGGATTCCTAACTGTCCCTTTCTGGGGTCGGTTACCTTTTCGCAACAGTTTAATTCTGTTCCAACTGATATTGACACCTAATCTTCTTCTAATAGCATCTAACATGCGTCTTCTACTCAACAATTTTCGATCACGCCTAGAAAGTTCGATACATGTAGTGGTTAATGTTTTTTCCTCAGATGTTCCAAGTTGATTGCGTAGGTTAGGTGAGCCTTTGCTTCCGATATTTTGCTGCGTAGAAGCACCATCCTTTTCAGCATAAGTTTGTAGCATAATATTCATTGCAGCCCTCAACTGAGTTAGCACCCATTGAAGGGGAGTGTTTCTTCTTCGTAAACACATTTCTACCAGACAAGCTAGCGCTATGCTTTCTTTTGTTTTATCTTTATTTTGTTTTTACTTTTATTAAAGTATTAACGGTTTGAGTTGCCAACCTCTTTATTCCGGCTATTTTGAAAGTCGTCACTCTACAATGGAACTTTAGCTTTTTCAATGCTTAAGAGTTGCCAACCTCCTTGTTATGGCTTTACTAAATAGCTTATTAATCGAAGTGGCCAACCTTCGTGTTTTGGCTTTATGAGAGATCAATTGAAGTGATTGAGTTGTTTTTGTTGTTGTTTTTTAATCAGACTAATTCAAAACTACGAATAATTCGTCACTATGGCACTTAGCAAGCTTCACAATAGAATAAACTAACGCACGTAACAACGGATTGATACAATGTATTTCTCAATGTTAGAACGGAAGTTGGTATCATATTTGTTTACAAAAGAGGCATTTCAATTATTATTTATAATTTTTATGTCCAGTCATAATGGTCATACGTGTATTTCCACGCCCCCTTTGAAACAAAGCTCAAAGATGGTTCCCCATTTTTTCTGTGTCAGCTAGATGCCTTGTATGTAGGTTATAAAATATAATCGCGTCTATATATAAACAAATATGATACCAACTTCCGTTCTAACATTAAGAAATACATTGTATTTCATTAAACTCCTGACTTAGCATTTTTGCACGTGCTTGTAACAACGTCTTATTACCTTACATACAAATTGTTTTGAAATATATCTAATAAAACGAATTTTAGCTATACTGGGTGTCCCTTTTTTCTTAAAAGTTATTTCTTTGAAATCTCTGATTATTACACGCTATGCTTTTCTCTCTCCTTTATAAAAGTATTGGGACAAGTCCAATACCTTTTCCTTATAATTAAAACTTAACTAGGGGTGGGTTGGCTCAGTGGTTAGAGTCATGACTTTGAGATCGGAAGGTCTCAGGATCGAATCCCACCGTTGGCCGGGATTTTTTCATTTAATTTAATTATTTAAAATTAATTCTGATGCCTTGGTAGGATTCCCCACTCGACCATTCACTGTTGGGTTCTAATTAACAGTGCTGTTCCTAAAGTGGCACTGGGAAACAGTAACAAAGCCTACACAGAACACGAGGCTAATGGCCGTAGTAGTGGACGCCGATGACACCAAATTAAAAAAAAAAAAACTTAACTTACTACAATAAATGACGAAACCCGCACTTACAATTTCTATTATTTTATATTTACGTACGCCACTGTACTACCTTCCTTCTTTTCTGATGGCCGTACTACCCTTTTTGCTAGTTACTGCTATGGCTAATGCGTGTTCGCCCTTAAAATGATTGACTGTTTATTCACTGCTACTGCTGCTACCGCGCGCACTTAACTTTGTTCATTGTGATCGGTTAATGTTTTCCTTTCCACGAGGTTAGAGTTACTACCGTTTAAGTACCCTTCGACACTTTTACATTTGTCAGTCCAACGATCTCGCGTCGCGATTTGTTCTTCTGTTAAGGCCCTTGATGGTCCCGGTTGGGAGGTTGTTATTGTTTCCAGCTTCACTTCTTCTGGGTTGAGAGTCTTTTCTCTCTGTTTTGTGTGTATGACCCAAGACGTTAGGGTATTCCATACACTCGTTAGTATGACTATGCCACATCCTAGAGTTTGATAGATGCGCAAGCCATTTAGTATTACCCCTAAAGTATATTGTATTATTTTGAATACACAATAGAACCCTATGAGGCCACTCATAAATGTTCCAATTTCAGAAAACCATCCCCATAATTCTTTGATGGTTGATTGTGCTAATCTCCTAATTTCTACAGCTTCGAACATGTTTGATAGGGAGTACCCTTGACTATTTGCTTCCATTCCTGCTGCTCGTCGTTTGAATATATTTTGTACAGCTTTTTGCTCGGTTCTAAATGTTAGAGTTCGTTGAGCTTCCGTTATTTTTTGTTGGATGTATAGGCCCTGGGCGCCTACTGGTTGGATTGGAGAAAACACCAATTTAGGTTCTGCTTCTATGGCTAACTGCTTGGGTGGGGTAGAAACCGTTGGATTTGGTGCTAGTCCTACCCACTGGTCATCTAGGAAATATAGTGGTGGAATCAAGTGATTGCAATCTACTTCTTCTGCATGGTTCTGTATGATTCTTGTTAATGGTGCCATAAATCTGGACTGGTTTGAGACTAATATTGGTAGCTCGTGGTAACATTTGGTTGTTCTTCTTATTGTTACTGCCTTTGGTGTTCATTTCATTATCTACAACGCTTCCCCAAGTACTCTTCCAACGTATCCTGGTTCATGTTGCATCAGTTGGCTTACTGCATTTGGTAGTATTGGTGCCATTAGTAGTCGATTCTTTAGGATTTCTCTCCTCATTAAACACCTTCTGTGTATTGTGTCTACATATAATCGATCTATATCTCTTTTATATGCTTGTTCTATGTACAAAAATTTACTATTGACATAGTCCATGAGGTTGACGTTTTGTGGCAACATTGGCATTGTTGGATTTAGGCCTCTTCGGTCTTTTTGTTTGCTTATTATTATTCTTGGGTGTTCTGTTTGCCAGACTTCTATTCCGCAAACCATTGTTCGTTTTTGAATTGTTAGTGAAAATATCTTCATGTCTTCTTCTACTACTATGACTGCTTCCATTGTTGCTTTATTTGTTACCATTTCTGCATTTCCTTTGTATAATTGACTTAGATGATCTTCGCATGTTATTGGTTCGTAACTTGTTGATTCTCCTAAAGTTGAGTCCATGCAATATCCTATAAGAAATGGACAAGTGATTCCTCCTTGTAGGTGTATTTCATTATCTTCTAAGTTGACGGCTGCTGAGTAGTCCCTGGTAAGGATTTTGATTGATGCGACTATGACTACATCGTTCCAGACGTTACCATTTTCTTGGTATATTACGCCTTTACATGTCCCTGTATTATCTAGTTTACCTTCTAACGTTATTGAAGCTGTAGTGGTCCCATTCATTACTATATTGCTTATGATTTGGTGAAAGAGATTAAGTTTCCGGTATTGGTGTAGCGCCTTGCATTCTTCCGCTCCCAATTTGTGAATGGTGGTTGATAGACCTCCGTTAACTATTGACGTGTGGCTGTGCATGCCACAGTAGAACATTACTCGTGAAACTTCGATTAAGCAAGTCCATACTTTTTGTGTTTTAAGTTCATTCCGTTGTATGACTTGCACGTTTATTTTCGCACTCGCGTATGCCGACTCCGGCGACGGGCATTTTTGAACGTCTTTTAACGAGATAACCGATACATTAGTCTTTGAATCCGAACAGTCGTAGGCAATTAAGCTATCGATTTGCTGGACATTACGCGCTAGCCATATTAGTAATATGATAAGCGTTTTACGGTGTTGAACCATTGCTGCGATGCTGTCCTGGGTGGTGGTTTTCTATGATCTCTGCACCTGTTACAACAGAGATAACCACTGATTTCTTTTCTGTCTTTTATAATTTGTTATGCGCACGTCACACGCGCACTGGTATCTTAAAACTAAGTATACAGGTGTTATCAATTATTATCAACATAAAAAAATTATAATTGTGTGAATTTAAATAGTTCAATTTCCCTGTATCTTTAAGTGTAAATTTTCCCCTATCGAACCTATTTCTATATATTATTTATCCTAGTTCAAAGAAAAATCAGTTTTAAGTAATCTTTAATCCTATTTAGTAACCATGGGATATCATTGTATAATCTCTGCAATATGTCAATACCATTTCAAAACAAATTAAAAAAAAACCATCTTCCAAAGACAATTTGAAAGGGAGAAAAAAAATTTTTTTTAACATTATTAAAAAAAAATTGAAAAAAAAAATAAAATTTTCAAAAAATAATTCCAAAAAAAAATTCGAGAAAAAAAATCTTAATTGAAACTCAAAATTTTCCAAAATTCTATCCTGCTTGATTATTATTATTTTTTTTTTGAATTCCTGTATTATTTACAGTTTATTATTCTCCAAAATATTACAGAACTATTGATTCCTCACTTAATATTTTAGGATTTCGGTAATAACCTAATGGCCACTCGTCCTTTGAGATGTAGGTGGAATTCTTTTGACTTAATTTTTTACTTATTTAACTGATTAGTCTGTTTCTTCGATAGTCCCATTATTTATTATTTACTTATCCCCAATGCGCGATATTCCACTATAGAGATAAACTGTTTTTCCTTTTTTGTTTTTTGTAATTCCTAATTAAGCCTTGGCTGTTTCCAAAAGCAATTATAACTTATTCCTAATTCCCATTTATTATCCCTTTACTTATTTTCTGAAGACTTAAACATCTACCCGTCTCTAGAATATATTTTTTTTCTGATGCCTCTCATACTAATCCCAGCTGTTAAATTACCCATCTTATTTAGTATTTATTATATTATATTCTATAGTATTTATACCCTGATATCTTACTGTTATTCTTACTACTCAAGTAACCGCTCTTTACATCATTTCAGAACTGTTAGTTGAGACTTAGAAGTACGGTTATATTTATTAATTTAACCCCAATTTTTATATTTAATCCTATACATAAAAAAAATCTGCTGCACTGCTAGTGAGTACGGCCTCCTTTTCATGCTGTTCCTCTCAGCAAAATGTTTACCTATACCTGTCAAAAAAAGTATAACTCCAATTATCTCGCCTTTTCACCTTATCCTTTTCGGACTTGTACTGCTTTTGGAATCCTTTCCCCTACGTCTCCTTAACATCCAGGTGGACTCCTAACCTGTAACATTAAGGTTGCAAAATTTGTCGCTCCTGCGTACGAGTACTTTATCTCACCCCTCTTCATCCGTTGCGATACCTGTTTTGTTTATTATTATTAAAAAAAATATATTTGCCATCGGATTTCCGCGTGACCTTTGGGGAAATCCTGATTATACTGTAGCTTGGGTAACATACAGTCTTTACCTTAACCTATGCCGAGAACGCAGGTTCCTCTCGGCGCGTGCAATGAATCATCCTTTGTCTCAAATTTTGAAGCCCTTAATGGGTAAAAGTATCTCGGGGTGAAGCCTCGAAACACTGAAATTACTGTCGCTCTGATGCTAGGGTAAAGGTTATTTATTTTATAATAAAAAATGTATATTGCCAAATTACAAGGAGACATCAAGTAGCATTAACACGCAATGCTCGCGATTCTTAATTATTCGGAGGTCGCCAGGTCCTTAAGTCCTGACCTGTGGACCGCTTGCGTAGAATGACACCGACATGGTGTCCTCACCCAATCCTCCGCATCTTCGAAACTATCTGTTTCGAAATCGTCTTCCTTCTCTGTTCTGAACTCTGTGAGTTCCTCGTTTTCTTTTTTGTTTATTATTTGTTTTTCTCCTTTTCTATAGCTTCTAATAGCATTTGTGTAGCTCGGTACACTTCCAAGTCTATCTCTTAGTCTTGTTGATCGTCTGAGTACAGGGGGTGGTCTAAATGCGTTTCCTATACTGTTCCTTCTCTGTCGTTTGGGTTTATTTACTTGTGCTTCAGGTTTGTTGGTTTCGTTCACCCATAATGGTAATAATGCGGCTGTTGCTAAGTTGACTTCATGGTTTTCTTCTTCTCCCTCTTCTTCTGTGATAGGAACTTCTTCTTTTTCTTCTATTAGTTCTACATGTGTATTGATTTCGTCTTTATCCTTACCATAGTATTTTTTAATTCTGTTTATATGTACAATCTGGGATGACTTTCCTTTTGATGTGGTTACTCTGTATGTTACTGGTCCCATTCTTTCTGCTATTTTGAAAGGTCCTGTCCAATGTCTTTGTAATTTTTTGAAATTCCTATTTTCGTGCTTACGTCTAGCACATATACCAAGTCTCCTTTTTCGAATTCTCTCTCCGCGGTCTTTTCATTGTAGCGTTTGATCCTGTCTGTTCTAGCTTTCTCTATATTTACATGGGCTTGAGTGTATACTTTTTGAAGTCTTGCCTCCAGTTCTGATACGTAATTGTCATTTATATTATATTTTACTCTCTTTGGCTTTATTAGTTCGTCTATACGTAAAGTTTTTGGTCTCTACCGTGTAGTAAAAAATAGGGACTATACCCTGTAGATGTGTGTACGCTGCCCCTATAGGCCATTAGTACGTACGGTATCCATTGATCCCAATCTCGTTGATTTGGTGCTATATAATGAGAAAGCATGTCTTTGAGTACTCTATGTAATCGTTCAACCAGACCGTTAGTGGTTGGAGCGTAGCTCGCTGTGTGCAATCTTTTTATGCCTAATAGTTTGCATGTTCCTTGCATTAGTTCTGACATAAAGTTTGTTCCTCTATCTGTGAGTAACTTTTTTGGAGCTCCGTGTCTACCTACTATGTTTCCTACAAAAGCTCTAGCAACAGTGTGTGCTTTTTGGTCCGGGAGTGGTATTGCTTCGCAATATTTCGTGAAATGATCTTGAAAGGTTAATAAATATTTATTTCCGTTATCTGACGTTACAAGTGGTCCTACTATATCCATCGATGTTATTTCCCATGGATCACTTACTGATGTGAAGCTTTCGTAAAATGTGGCGAAGGTTTTTTTCGATTGCATGCATCGCATTCGGTGCAATATTTTGTGACATCTGTCCTCATGTTTGGCCAGAAGAATCTTTTCTTTATAGTCAGTAATGTCTTTTGTTGTCCTTGCTGACAATGAAAAGGTGTATCATGGAAATCTTCTAATACTTTTTTAATAAATATTTTTGGAACAACGAGTTTGTCTCTCGTGCATCCATTTTCCTGTACGTATAATATACCTTCTTTATCCACAAAATATTTTTCTGACGTTCCTTCGTCCTCCTCTAGTTGTACTAATATTTTTTGACAAAAATCATCTTTTTGTTGTGCTTTTTTCACTGTTTCAGTGTCCCATATTGGTTCCCAAATATTTTCTTCTTCGACTACATTTATTTTTCCTCCGAGTCTTGTCTTTTTTGTTTCCTGTATTAATACTTCTATGTACATTTGAGTCCCGTAAAATATAAATTTAGCCATTTTAATTACTTCTTCCCATTTTAGTCCAGGTATTTGTTGGTTTGTTGTGATGAACGTTATTTGCTTCTCCTTGTTTGTTTCGCAGCTTATTTTTAGTTGTTTTAATCCTTCCCACAGTATTTCGTACGATGTTTCTGTTTCTGGAAATGTTCTGACGATCACGAGATATGTTCTTCGATCGGCGGTTTTCCATTCTGTTATATTCTGCACTGTTTCATTTGAAGTGTTTGGTGGACCATATATATTATTTAGCGTCTTCATCGTTTCTTCCTGGGTTTTTCTTTCTTTGGTTGTAAATATTGCAATTGTTTCTCCTTCTGGTAGAGCCAAAAGTTCTCCTGTTTTATATTTTACTTTATCTTTTCCTGGAAGATCGTTATTTTCTTTATACTCAAGAAAATCGTCATAAGAGGGTTCCGCGTAATTTGTTGCTGAATCATACATTCTGTTTAGAGCGTGTAGGAGCTAGGATACCGAATTTGAGTAGGTTAAACCCGTTGGGGTACGTTTTTATGAAAGGAGCGCAGGATATTATTAAGTAGGATAAGTTAGTGCCAAGTGAGGCGAGGTACGATTAAATAATCCACTGTAAAAAATAAAAAATTAAACGTTTTCCGCTGTTCGCTACTTCTACGGGGAGAAGGGAATGTTTCCGTCCTTCTAACAAAATCCCGCAGAAGATAGGATGCTAAAAGAAAGTATGAGGGGGTATTTGAAGATCTTTTATGCACAGACGAAGATAAAAATGAAATTTCTCTGTGAAATAAATAACAAGTTACTTCACAGCATAATGTCAGTCAAAGAGCCCATAAGTTTAAAAGATTTGATGGGGTTGTTTTTACAACCAACTCAGAAATCGACACTGATCTTGTTAAAGAAACAGAAGAAGATTAAGAGTACAAATTGAATCTATTAAAGTTTATGAACATACCAGTGGCATTAGATACTTCGGTATCTGCCAATGAAATTCCTATTAAAATAAAAACAAAAAAAGGAATTAGTGGAGAACTTTGGCAATGCAAAGAGCAATTGATCTTAATGAAGATATTACTTCGGAGTACACTGATTTTGTTATCAGTGATACCACGCCAGGTTTACCAAAACCAAAACCCAGTACATCAAAAATTAAAAAATTGTTAGAGAAGGGTAAGCAAAGAAGAGGAAATCTTCTAATACTTCTTTAAACTTTAAAAAATATTTAGTGTTATGTTTATTACGACCGTCTCGAATTTGACGTTTTGCCGTCGGAAACTATTTTTACTAACCCAAAAGAAGGATTGGGATTGTTTATTACGACCGTCTCGAATTTGACGTTCTGCCGTCGGAAACTATTTTTACTAACCCAAAAGAAGGATTGGGATAGAATTTCAGGAGAGAAAAGCGTTTTTG